GGGGGGGGGGGGGGGGGCTGTTCGGTTCCAGTGTCTGTGGGAGGGAGGGTGATGCCAGGATGGGGATGGCTTCTGTATGGAAGGACTTAAGGGGGGTGCTCCTGCAAGGGCACAGAAGGGTACATCAAGCAGGGTCGCTCCCTCTTGCCCTGCCTCATGGCACGAGATCATGGGCTGGTCAGGACTGGAGAGCAGCAATGGCCTTGCCAGCTGAGGCACCATGACCCAGCAAGACTCGTGGCCACTGGGTCCTACCTGTGAAGCCATGTGTTGTGCCTGGATTCCCACCCTGGAGGCCCTCATGGATGGGAACAGCCATAGTTGTAGGAGATGGGGATAGCAACAGCTGGGAGGAAGCTGAGCTGAGCCTCCCCCCCTGGGCCAGCCTCCCTCGGTGTTGAGCACCAATGTTTCCCCTCCCTTGGCTGCAGGGATTTGTGAGATTTTTTTTATTTTATTTTATTTTATTTATTTATTTTTTGGCCTGGCCCCAGCATGGCAATTTTTGGGTCCTGCTTGTACTGGCATGGGCCTGGTGGGGGGGCTTCTCACTCTTTTTCCTTGAGCCAAATCAAATCCCCCTCATCCTCTTCCCCTCCCCCTCCCTGCAGAGGGTGCACAAGCTCTGCTCTGCACAGTACATGTCTCCTTCCAGCTTCTGCCTCTGGCTGGGGCTTGGCCCATTACCCACCTCGCCCTTTTCCCTTGGGGGGGCTTGTATTTGCTTCCCCAGCAGCCCTAGGCAGGCTCCCACCCTTGCATTTCATTTTGCAGCTGTCCTGGATGTAGCTGCAGCTGTTAGAAAGGAGTGCTGGGAGCATGGAGGTGACCTCTGGCTTAGCCAGCAGGACCCAGATGCAGGAGCTGGCACTGTGCACCCCAGGAGTGTGGGGGTGGAGATCTGCTGGAGAAATGAGCTGTGAGCAATCGCTTGCAGTTTAGCTGCAGACTAGTGTGTTCTGGCTCCACCTCTGAGCCATCCAGCCCTGTCTGGAAAGGGCAGCGCAGGTGTCTGCATTTGGCCACCACTGCAGCCTGCCCAAGCCTATGGCTACATGCCTCAGCTGCTGGCAGGGCCCTATTCACTGAAATAATAGCCTCTGCTGACAGTACATGGCCCCATGGCTCCAGCCCAGAGGGCCTCTGGCTGGTGTGCTCATGGGCTCTTGAGGCATGCGTGCTGAAGGGCTGGGCAGGGCCTCTTGTGGAAGACTTTTGTCCTTTTGGGGCCTGAAGCCAATTTCTTGCAGGCCTGGGGACAGATTGGGTGCTACAGGGCCAGGTCCTTCAACTTGCCAAGGCATCTACTCCTGGCTCCTGTGCCTCTGTCCCCTGGGGCACCCTGTCTAGGGAGGGTACAGGCTGGCACTGGGCAAAAGCCTGACTTCCTCTGGGGTGGGTTGAATAGGCTGGGAGTAGGGATGGAGGGTCTCTGCCAGGCAGGGGTGAGTGCTGGGCCCAGGCTGTCCAGGGGCAGAGGGGAGGTCAGGCCCTGTCTGGGCACTGGATTGTGCAGAAGTGCCCTAAGATCCTGTGCAGACTGCCAGCCTGTTGTGCAGGAGCATGCTGCAGGGCTGGGAGCAGGTGCCCCTGGCTGAAAGTGCCATGCCTCGGTCATGCGCGGCACCAGTGGTCTGGCGCTGACCCAATAGCCCTTCGGTGCGAGAACATGTCACACAATCTATGTACATGTATTTACATATGTATAGAGCTGGCTGGGGCAGATGGCCTGGTACCAGGCTGTGCTGAAGCAACTTCCTGTGATTCCAGTCCTACAGCTGGCCATGGAGGGGTGGGGGGGGGGTCTCTCCCTTCCCTCTGCCCACCCAGAGGTACAGCGCTACATGGGGATGGGAGGTGGGCTGTGGATGGAGGATTCCCCTGTCCCCCTCGCCCTGGTGCCTGGGTGCTGCTATGGCTACAATGCATGGTCTGGAGTGGACCACAAGGCTCTAACCCGCACCAAAGCCAGAGCAGCGGCTGAGCTCTCCCTGCTCCTGGGTCAGCTGCTGGTGGGACCATGGCTACCTACCCGTGGGGAGGGCAAGGGGAGGACTGGGCTGTCACTGAAGTAGAGGTGCTGCTGGGCCCTGCCAGGGCTCTGAGCAGTGGCCCACTGCCTGGATGCTGCTGTGGAAGGGGAGGAGGTCTGGCTCTTGCACCCTGCCCTGCTCAGACCTTTACTCCTGCCTCCAGCCAGGGCGTGGCAGGGCCTTGAGTGATGGTGTAGTGTGGAGGCTATAGCAGCTGCCCAGGGTCCAAGGCTTCTAGACGCTGCTCAGCAGGCTGGGCCTGTGCATCCTGCACATGGCTGCTGGGTTTCTAAGTGCTGTTCAGGCAGCCATATCCCCACAGCAACAGCCCCCACTGCTCCTAGGCTCAGATCAAGGCAATGGCAGTGGTACCGGGGCAGGACACTAGGTCATGAGCTTAGTTTTCCCCACTCAAAAAATCCACTCGACTGAGTGGTGGGGAAAGGAGAGGGGGTAGTGAGGACCCAGTCCTCTTCTAGGTACCTCACCCAGCTGGATGTGGCAACAGGAGGGGTAGGGGATTGATCCCCTCTGGAAGCCCAGTAGTCATCACTGTCCTTTGAAGCAGGGACCATCTTTACATGCTGCCTGCTGGCTGTGGCAGGTGCCAGACTGCCACTGCGGGGTGAGTGTCCTCTCCCTTGGTGTGGCAGCAGTTTTTTCTTTCTTGCTCTTTCCTAAAAGGAGACCTCAGCCTCCTCTTCCCTCTGCACTTGCCAATGGGGCTGTAAGCAGTGCTGTGTGCCCTGTCAGCCTGGGGACTGGCCTTGTGGCCACTTGTGCTCTCAGGCACAGCCCACAAGGGCTCAAAGCCAAGCCCTGGTATCCCCCTCTCCCAACAGGTCTCTGCTCCAGGACCACAGCAATGGCTTAATGCTGCTGCTATGAGGATTAATAGGCATCTTGGCACAGGGGCTGCCAGCAGCAATCCCCACCCCCATTGTAGGGGCTGGCGGGAAGGAAGCTGGCCCTAGGGTCAGCCAGAATCGTTCTCCCTGGCCCAGTGCTCGTGTGCCTTGCAGTGGAGGATGCTCAGACAGCCCTTGCCTCCTCTGCCTGCTGCCACTGCCTGAGCCCATCTCCCTTCAGCCACGGCTGGTGCCAGCACTCTTGCCCTGCCCTCTTACCTGGCCTTAGTCTATGCTGCCCTGAGCCTCATGCACAGCAGTTTGCTGAGCTTCCCAGGCAGGGGTTGCAGCCTGAGCCTCTGGCTTGAGTGTGCCTCATCGGCTCTTTTCAGCAGCTGCTAAGGACGCCCCAGAGCCCTTGCACAGCTTGTCCCTTCCTGGCTCCTAGCCAGTGCTAGGGAAGGAGCTTCCACGGGTGCAGAGGCTTGGACAAGTGCTGCTGCGCCCCTGCTGCTTGTACCAGAACCCCTTTACTGCTGCTGCGAAGGGAGAGTCTCATTTGGCTCGGTCCCTGGCAGCTCCTGGGATCTTTCCTGCCGAGTCGGACAGCCTGCTACAAGGCCACAGCACCCTCTGACTTCACAGTTGGGTACCCCATGTTCCTGGTGTCTGTTGCAGTTGAAACAGGCTGGGGAGAGGCACTCCAGCCCCTGCCACAGGAGAGGCTAATATTTCCTCCAGCAGGGAAGCTTCCCCCTTACCCTGCCCCTGCTCTAGATCAGCCAGTGCCGTCGCTACAGCCTGTGGGCAGGGGTGGGGGGGCACTGGAGTGTGTCTGGATCCTTGGTTCTGGGCAATGACTGTCCTGGGTAGGGCTCTGTTCCCTAACCTGGGGACAGGGGCGGTTGGTCAGATGATCTGTATGGCTTTTACATGGCTGGAGCATGCTGTATAAGGAACATGGAGGTGGGGGGGAGGCTCTACTATGGGGAGGGGGCCTTAACTGCTGCCTTCTTCCGCTGAGCGCGTGTCTGACTTGAGCTTGACGAATTCCTTGGCCACCTCGTCGTTGTTGCGCTGCGAGAGGATACGCAGGACTGTGAGGCCCGTGTCGTCCATGTGGATGCGCCGGCCCAGGGGCAGCCAGCAGGCACAGCTGCCACGCTGCATGATGTCCTTGAGCTGCATCACGGCAATGCCCACGGTGCGGTCCTCACGGGCGAAGCAGTAGTCCTTCACGCACACCTGCAGCTCGTAGCACTCTGGGCCTGTCTCGCTGCCTAGGGTGCTGCATTGGGAAAAGAGTACAGGCACCCTGTTAACCCCCTACCGCCCAGGGACCTCCTGTTTACTCTGCCTGGGGCAGAAGGGAACGTAGTTGGCCAGTAGCCCCAGGCCAGTACCTGAGTCGGTGAACCTCCCCTTTTTCCTGCTCAAAACAGAGACCTGTCAGCCTCTGTCAAATTGTCCTGCCTCCTTCCCTGTAGCTGCGAGTGAAGGGGGGTGCTTTCCACCTTGGGTGAGTGTATGGCTACCATACAGACTGGATCCCAGAAGTGCCAAGTACTGTCCTTGCCTCAGCTACCCCCCCAGCGCATGTACCGAGGGCTGCGGTCAGCCACACTGACTCCCTTACTCTGCTACGGGCTGACCAGGGAATGGGCTGAGGCTGCACGCTTCAGGTGCATGGTTCTCATGGGCGATTTTCAACTACCTGGCCATCTTGTGGGAAGAGTAGTTGGCCAAATCTGATCAGCCTCAAAGCTTCCTTACACACGTGGATGAGCTCTACCTTTCTCGAAGTTTATGGGCTGACAAGAGGTAAGGTGCTGCTGGACCTGGTACTGGCCAAAGGGGATGATCTAATCGGCAACCTGAGCACTGAAGGGAAGCTGGGAAATGGTGACTACGCTTTCACTATCCATTGCAAAGCTGGCAGGTCAGCCAGCAATGCAGTAGTCCGCGACTTTAGGAAAGCTGATGTTTTCATAAGCTCAGGAGGCTTGTTCTTGAGGCCCTGAAAGGACACGATTTCACAGGGAGGGGAGTTCAGGGTGAGTGGTTGCTCCTTAAGGCAGCGATCCTAGAAGCACAAAGGGAGTCCTTTCCTGCGGGTTGGGATGGTGGTTAAAAAGGCTTAACAACCCCCTTGGCCCAACAAGGAAACTGCTGTGTCTAAAAAGAGAGGTTTCTAAAGGATGGAAGATGGGGAATGCCATGAAAGAGGAGGGTTCTGCACTAGGGAGCGAACTAGGAAAGCCAAGGCTGCAACTCGGCTCCAACTGGCTATGTGAATTGAGGACAATAAATCCTTCAGATACGTGGGGAGTTGAAAGAAAAACAAGGGCAACACTGGACCCCTGCTAAACCAGCTGGGGCACCTAACTACCGCCACCCAGGAAGAAGCCAATCTGCTTAATGATTACTTTGCATTGGTTTTTCACCAGCCCAAAGGGACCACCCTGCCTGACATGATGTGGGATGACCAGGGTGGGGATGGACCTTGTGAGGGAGCATCTTGAGAGGCTGGACCCCTACAAATCAGCTGGTTTTGATAGATTGCACCCAAGAGTGCTAAAGGAACTGGCAGACATCATAGCACAGCCAGGGGCAAGGATATTTGAGAACTTGCGGTACTTGGGGGAAGTACCTGAAGATTGGAAGAAGGCCAAGGTGGTGCCCATCTTCAAGAAGGGTAGGAACGACGACCTGGGAAACTACAGGCTAATCAGTTTGACCTCAATCCCTGGGCAGATTTTGAAGAAAATTATCAAATTTTGACATTCTTGATAGAGTAACAGAAGGCAATATTCTGAGGGATACCCAGCATGGGTTTGGTGCGGGTAGGTCTTGCCTGACCAACCTCATTCCCTTCTATGACCAGGTGATGTATCACCTGAACAAAAGGGAAGAGGCTGATGTCATATATTTGACTTTAAAAAAGCCTTTGACCTGGTGTCCCATGATGTTCTTATGGAAATACTGGGCAACTACTCTCCAGTCCAATGGCTGGGGAATTGGCTCTGAGGCTGGACCCAGAAAGTGGTAGTTGACGGAACTGAATCAACATGGCACTTGGTGCCCCCCAAGGCTCAGGTTTTCAGACCTGTACTTTCTTTAATGTAGTCTGACACCTGTGTTCGGGTCACTTAAGAAGTGGACTGGCTAAGTTTGCTGATGACACCAAACTTTGGGGAAGAGTGTCCACCAGGATAGGCTGGTGATCCAGGCCAGCCTTGATAGGCTTGCAAGCTGGGCAGATGAAAACCTGGTGGCATTCAATACAGAGAAATGCAAAGTGCTCCACCTTGGGTGGGGGTGGGAGGGGAGCTCAGGAAAGCTACATCACACTTACAAGGCTCGGCAATGCTACACTCGCTAGCACCACAACCAGAAGAGGCTTGGGGGTCATGACTGACCACAAGATGAACATGAGGCACCCATGTGATACCGCAGCTGGCAAAGCAAACAAAACTCTGGCTTGCATCTTCTGATGCATCTCGATCAAGGTCCAGGATGTCATCCTCCCACTGTACTCGGCCTTGGTGAGGCCACAGCTGGAGTCCTGCATCTAATTCTGGGCTCCACAATTCAGGAAGGACGTGAAGAAGCTTGAAAGAGTCCAGAGGAGAGCCCTGTGCATGATCAGAGGGCAAGAGAACTGGTCTTATGAAGACTGGCTATGAGCTATGGGACTCTTCAGCCTGGAGAAGTGCAGGCTTAGGGGAGACAGGCTGCCACCAGAAGTACATAAGGGGTGTGCATCAGGATCTGGGGGACACCTGTTCACCAGGGCACCCCAAGGGATGGTGAGATCCAACGGTCACAAACTCCTGCAAGACCGTTTTTAGGATACACATAAGGAAAAACTTCTTTACGGTCTGAGCCCCCAAAGCCTGGATCAGACTCCCCCCCCCAGAGGTGGTGCCAAGCACCTACTCTGGGCACTTTTTAAAGAAACATTTGAATGCTTATCTTGCTGGGATCCTCTGACCCTAGCTGACTTCCCCCTTGGGCAGGGGGCTGGACCCGATGATCTTACAAGGTCCCTTCCAGCCCTAATGTCTATGAAACCAGAGGCTCTGCTCCATCGGTGCTCCCCCTATGTAATGCCACCTCCTGGCAGGCAGGCAGACTGCAATGCCCCCCCCCCCCCAGCGAGGAAAGGCAGCTGCACATAGGCAGTCAGATTGGCTTGAGTGGTTTGCCTGATGTGGGGCCAGGGAGCCTGTGGGAGGGGGGGCAAGGCATTATCCAACTCAGATTCCAGGTCTTGTAGTCATCTTTGTTCATTCTTTGCCCACCCTAAAAACCTAGTTCTGTAAGCTCTTCAGCTGAGGTGGTGACAGATTGAATAATTGCTTATGAGCGACAGTTTTTACTAGGAAGGGGGTGTCAATCAAAGGCTTCTTCATGAGCATTGGTCTGCACCATCATATTTGCTCTAATGATGGCTGACATGGTTGTTGGTGTGAATTGCAAAACTAAAGTACCAGCTGCAGACTGTTTCTGTTGGCCCTGAGCTGGGCTCTGCCAGGGACCAGAGCCTGGGGCTTAAGGCCTAGCCTGAAGCTGGCACTTGAAAGGTGGCAGCAGTCAGAAAAAATAGAGAAGTTGGTTGCTGCTAAATTTTTATCCTGAAAAATTCAAGCTGGCCAAAGTTTCAAGGCTGAGGCTTGAAAAGAAGCTGTGTGACAGACGGATGGCCTTGTCGCATGGAAACTGTCTCAAGGCTGTTGTGGTTCAGCTGTTTTGTGCTCCCATTCTCCTCCGTAAACCTGGCTTGGTGCTTGGATTGCATCTCCCACAATGTACCTGGTCTCCCTGCTGATGAGTGACACATGATGAGCAGCCCATGGTACATGGAGGGAGATGCTGTCCAGCCCTTTGCTCTGGGAAGCAGGTGGGCACCTTTTGCAGAATGCAAATGCTTCAGTCCTCAGGGAAAACTAGTTCTAGAGGGAGTGAGGCGGGGGGGGGAAATGGGCCAGTTCTGCGTCCTGGGTGGTGGCAGCACAGGGGTGCAAAAGCAGCAGCTGGCGGTTCACTGCTGGGCTGAGGGTGGCAGAATGGCACCTCTGCTTTTGGCACTGACATGCAAGTCGAGTGGCTGTTTAAACACTGATATTTCAGTCTAAAAGGGTGACATCTGCTCCCTGCAGCAGCAAACTTCCAGCCACTGCTCCTGCACTGAGCAGTGCAGCCACTGAGGGCTCTGCTTGTACCTACTGCGGGAGCTGCAGCTGCTCAGCTCTGTGCCAGCCACCCTCCTTCCCCTGACGCAGCTCCTGGGGCTTGTGCCCTCTTGCTCACCTGACATGGTACTACTGGAAAAACATTTGAGCAGCCCTGGCAGGCACCCTGAGTGCCACTGCACCTCCCTAGCTGAGCTCTAGCATCAGCTAACAGGCAGGGAAGGGAGGCAGTGGTGGCCTTACTGACTCCAGCCCACTTGCAACTCTTGGCCCTGTTCAGCTCAGCTGGTTGGAGGCAGGGAAATTGGGGAGAGGAAGGAAACGTGCATTAGCATCACTCACAACTGGAAGCTCTCGTTGTATTTGGGTGCCCAGCTGTTGTTCTTGGACTTGGTGGCGAATTTCCTCTTCTTGTCGCTGAGACTAGGCCCAATGATGTTGACCTCGATGAAGGGCCGGAAGATGCCGGATGTCTGCCACTTCAGGTCATTAGCAGCCACCACTGCCAGAAAAAGAGCCATGTCAGAGCAGCGTGGGGGCTGCAGGCTCTGGGCCGGGGAGTTGTGTGCGGTCGGCCGGGTCTGTCTGGCTGCTCCGACTGCTCTTAGCTTTTGGCAGCTCAATTGCTGAAGGTTTCAAATCCCTGCAAGTGCTTGTACTAGCCCCTCTGCAGGGGTGTGGGCATGAGCTGTCGAGGGGGCAGAGTTGAGGGTGGGGGCTCCCTGCATTTCCCTGGCACGTGCTCCATGTGTTGCCCTGGAGGACGTACAAGCACTCGTCCCACTTTCATACAGCACTATGCAGCAGATGCCGCAGCTCAGGCCCAGAGCCAGAGGCCAAGGCCAGGCATCCACTGCCAGCCTTGTGCTCAGCTCTTGGCCCTGCCTTCACGTGGGACCTACCTTTGACGGTGACCTTGTGCTCCCCAGTGCCAGGGTGTGTGAAGAGCTCCACATGGATGGACACTTCCCCAACTGGGTCATCCACGCCGGATCCTGCTCCACAAGGGGAAGGGAAGGAGTGAGTGCCTGGCCCTGGAATGAGGACCTTGGGCGAAGCTGTGCCCTGGCCCTGCCCAGCTGGAGGACTCAGATCACCTGCTTGCTCCAAGCAGCTCAGATGCACTACGTTCTCAGAATTTTTCTATCCCCATCCCTTGCTTTCCCCAAAGCAGCCGTGGGAGATGGATGTGGGGTGAAGGGTAGCCCCAGCCTCCCCATGCTTGAGCAAAGCCTAGGTGAAAGGTGCATGGTGCTGCTAGTCCAGTCTCCTATTACCCTTCCCTTGGGGCCGGCAATCACTGTGGCAATTTTCAACATGCAGTCCTGGAGCAACTGTATGGGAGTCAGCAGAATGACCCCAGCTGGCTACCAGCTTCACAGGACCAGGACCTGAGCCATGCTCCTCTGGGCCCTCATCTCCCTGCTGTGTAAGGGAGATGCAGCATCACCCAATGGAGAGCATGATGGACCCGGAGCCCCTGGGTTCTAGCTTATTTCCAGTTCTACCACTGACTGTGAGCAAGACGTTCTCCCTTCCCCCTGCCTCTTAGCACCGCTTGCTTTTGTGCATCTTTTCCTTTTGCTCCAGGAGCTCTGCAGTCGCAGTTTTTGGTGCTACAGCCATGCATGTGTCATGACCAAGGCCCAGCTGCATAGTCTGTGGCAGAGCCAAGAACCCGGGGGTCTGGACTCCTGGCTGTCCTAACCTCACCTCTAGAAGCTTGGGCTGAGCCCTGGGGCTCCTGGAACAGCATTTCTGCTCGCTGCAGAGCTGCATAGTATCACCTTTGTCATGCACTAGAAATGAAATATGGGCACGAGATGCTGAGGAGGTATTGGGGGGCACGCAGGCCTCATCTTTTCATAGTGAAGGGGGAAGTGCAGGGCCAAGGCTAATTGCAGCAATGATCTTCCTCTGTTTATTGGGCCGTAAGTCATAGGCAGTGGCTGTGACAGGACCTGGTCACGGGGGCTCTGTAATTCATTTGGGAGCTATGTTGAACATGCAGGAGGGGGGAGCTTGGTGGAGGTAGGGTTTAGCTGAGGAAATTTCTGATCCTTTCTATTAGTGCCTTGGAGGAGAGAGGACTGACTGTGGGCTGGGTTCAGAAAGAGGCTTTCACTGCTCCTGTGCCCATGCCTGCACACTGAGCTGGGCACCCTGGGCAGAGCCACTAGCACAGCTGGGGGGCAAGGGGGTGCTGGCGGTCCTGCTCAGGCACCACAACAAGCTCCCTCCTCACCCCTCACTACTGCTCCTTGGGGCAGCCACTGACTACTCCAATTGGCGGGAGCATCCCCTAATGGGCCTAGCAGGGTCTACTGTGTGTCACGGCTCAGATG